GATTATTCTAACTAATTTTCCTTCAATAAAAAGAAATGTAGGAAATGACAACCAGTTAAAAACACATGCCTCTGTTCCTTCATGTCTTTCAGAACGCCAGTGGAGATCCAGCAGTCAGCAGCACTGTCAACCCATTGACCACGAAGAGGTCAAAGGTGAAGACCGAAGCAGAGGGTCCACTGCCCATTTCACCATCGTCTCAGGTGAGAAAATAATAAGCTCCTTAAAGTGGGAGAGTGGTGCACCTTAAAGTTAGGTTGCTAATTAGTCTCTAATTGATTATAAGTAATGGATAAATATGCAGCTTTAATCTGTGACAAGAGGTGTGTTTTTTACAACTCTTCCTCTATAATAAAGAGGTTGATAAGATAAGAGAAATGCAAAATAGTGCAGAATGCTTCTTAATGACTTGTGAAAGCTGAAGTCTTGTTTTTTGTTTTGTTTTTTTTTTTATACCTCATTTAAATTGGATGCACGTATTTGACATACACTTTGTCTCCAGGACCACGGTGGGGGGATCCTGGACCTGAGTGAAGATCTGGATAAAGATGAGTGTAAACAGGAGCCAGAGGCCATCTATGAAACCAACTGCCACTGGGATGGCTGCTCCAAAGAGTACGATACCCAGGACCAACTCGTTCATGTGAGTCTGTATGGCTTTTTTTTTACTCAGCTGGATTTTTTTGTTTGTTTGTTTTTTAATGACAGCCAGCTAGCAGGCAGAGGACATAAATCCAGCGATTCCCACAGGATTAGATTATATTGCAGTGGTGGACGGGGACGTGCAAGCTTTCTTAATTAGATTAATAAGTAATATAGACTTCAGGAACCGGCCCTGCAGCCTCAGTCAGTTTAAACCATTTGCACCTGCTGCAGGTTATGGACTGCTCATCCAGAAACAGATTTTAAAAGCAGAACAGGAACTCCAAAGATGGAGTTAGAGTCTGTCCGAATACGAGACATCACAGACCACAACAAGAACGACCTTGTTAGCATGTCTTAATGCATCCTCAATCATCAAGGAAAGGAAATCCTAAAAAGCTGATTCTGTTCTCACACTGAAAACACTGTCTAGATGGACAGAATCACCTTTTGGGACCTTGTTAGCAGTAACCAACTTTTTCAAAATAAGAGCATGGGGCTTGTCTATGAATTTTAAATATATTCTAAAATGGTTGAGAGTTGCAAAAAAAAATACTCAGTTAATGTTGGGAAACACCAAAACTGCTCAACTAGAAATTCCTTTAAAGAAATACATACTACCCTCCTTCATCCCTGGTGGTTGTTAGGGTTCTATGTTGTGTTGCTCATTATGTTGTCAGTATCTGCTGTTTTGTTTGCAATGACAGTGGATAGACTACTGTTGTTGTGTAAAAACTTAAAAGTTTAGATTCCTCTTCTGCTCCTAATTAAATCCTGGGTCCACTCAGAAAGCTGAGTAGTGACCGGTCTCTTTCTGTTGGGTCGACACGCGTAATGTTAATGAGCCTGCTGGCTCTCGCCAAATTCAAGCCCAAGCCCTGCAGCTGTGCCCACCCCTCCACAAGCCCAGAGACCCCCTAACCCCTAACCTCTTACTCCCAGCAACACCCCCAACCCCCGAAGCCCAAAGGGCCGGCCATAAATCCATCGTCATGCCAGCAACTTTGGGGTTATGCACCCTCGCTTTTTCCAGGCCAACTTCTCTTCTCTACACTTTCTGACTGGCAGTGAGTCACCTCTGAGTAGCAGTAGGAGGGTCATATGTCAGGTCCATAGACCTACAGACCAATGGGAGGAGGTGGACAGGTCGCTATAAGCTGCTACACGCAGGACCAGAGTTACCTTTAACAACTTTGCAAACTCTGTGGACCAGTAGAGGACTGTGCTGATAAACTGCCAACAGTGCGTTTATGTTCCTGTTTTCTATAAAGTATAAAATACATGGGTGTGATCTCTAACACCACCTCTCTGAGCACATCTGGGGTTTCACATGAGGTTCAAACATCATCAGCGAAAAGAGACCAAAACAAACACAGACACACCACACACACACACCTGTGGGTTTCTTGTGGTTTCTGTTTGACCAGAGTAATCCTGTTTCAAGAGCCTCCAAATTATGGATTCACAGTAGTGTGTAACCTGAAAATAGAGACCTCTGCGTGGGCCACACACTTTTTTCCACTCCTCCTCCTCTTCCTCCTTCCTCCCAGAATAGCCCTCAGTAGAATTGCTAACCACAGACCTTTTCTGCTGGTGAAGAAGTGGCCACATAAGTGGAGCATTGTAGGCTTGGATGTCCTCAGGAAATGAGGTGGTTCCTCTGGGTGTGTGGATATTTGAATGCGGTGGACGGGACAAGTGTTTTGAAATGTGTCTGTTCAGAGAAATCATGTTTGACTGCAGCAGAAGTCATTTGACTAAATATGTTGTAGCTGAGGACATTTTGCCTTGAAGTGCTCTAGGCAAAATCCAGTATGTATACTGGACTCCAGCATGCCATTCTTTTTTCTCTTCACGCCTTTGATAATTTAAGCTGAGTACTGTCTAATTTCTCTGAAGACTTTCTGCATATTTAAAGTGCAAGTTAAAAAGTCACACAGAAACTGTTTCGATTGACCTCGTGATCCATGAAAATGAAGGAAATGAAGGAATACAGTCGGAAATCCTCTTCTTGATCACTTTTTACAAGGATCCGCTGTAGTTCCTTTTCCGAGAGAAATGTGAACACAAACACAGCCTGAAAAAACACACACACACACACACACACAGCCTTTGTAGCTTTTGTCTCCTATTGACGAAGGCATAATAACTGTCAGCTATAATGGATTGCAGAGTGATGTCAGTGAGTCAAGCATGCATGGACACATGAGGCGGAAGCCTATTCTGGTGGGAAAAAGACAAGAATTTGCTGACTCTTCTTTAGCATTTTGTAACATTATTTTCATCTTTAGGGAAAAGTATCATAGAACTGTGACAGTTGAATGGAATCAATCTGTATCTACAGCATATCAACAATGACCACATCCACGGTGAGAAGAAAGAGTTTGTGTGTCGCTGGGAGGAGTGTTCACGGGAGCAAAAACCCTTCAAGGCACAGTACATGCTGGTGGTCCATATGAGGCGACACACGGGGGAGAAGCCCCATAAGTGCACGGTAAGCGCCTCGTATTCTTGGTAATTTGCTGACTGGTATCACAAGCCATCATCTCCCATAATGCAGCCAGCACCATTTTCCAGCTCGGATTGCAATGCAAGCTATTTGGCATAGTTGGTGACGTCCAGAGAAATACAGACATACAGAGAAAACCTAACGATCCACTATAAGCAGCAAAAGTCAACAGGCATATATAGCATAGGTTATGGCACCCACCTGTTAAGCAATGATGTATTAACTTTGTTTCAAAAACCATAAACCTAGGTGTGATCTGCAAAAATGCTTTTTAACAATGTGTGTGTGCATGACAATGAGAAGGCAGACACAAAATCTCCTCTCAGATTCACTAACGTTCCTGCAGAGCCACAGCAGACATGATACAACTAGCTATACACACTGACTTCTCACAGTTGGTTCATTGATCTGTGTAAAAACACCGGAGAGGCCCTTTAACCTTCTTGTTAACATGTTAACCAACTAGTTGAAGTTGGAATTTATTCCGCCGCTTTAGCAGTCAAAGAATGTCAGCCCTTTAGTGCGTCAGTTTCGCCTGTGGAAAAAAACGCCTTACAAAAAAACTTGATATGATTTTCTTTGTGCGTACCACCACTATATTTCCCGTGTTTGATAAATCATGGGCTTTCATTGAAGCCTTCATTTGCTGTGTGAAGATCAAATTGAGGGGCCTGTTTGCTTGGCTTCAAAGCTCACTCTGGGCCTCTCATGAATGTATTAAAACAGATCACTTGTGAAGGATAAAGTTAAGAAAGCTGATTGACAGTGTGGGTGTGTAATTAAAATTTGCAGACAAGCAGGGGGCCATGGGTCCTTATTAAGACCAAGCTGTATATTCTGCACACAAATCCCACATGCATCTTCTCCTAACTCCCCTTTAGTCTTTTCTTTTTAAGGATGAGTCTTCGGACTTTTTCATCCCTTTTCTGGGCTGCTCTAATTTGATTCTCTTTTAATTTCAGAGCCAATTACACTCACAATGACTGCTCAGAAGGAATACCAAATTATAGCTTGTACAGTATAAGTGAATACAAAGGCTAAACACAGACTTCTCTTTGTCTCAACAAAGTGCACCAGACAAAGAGCTCTACCACACCTCACACTTAGTTTGGATATTTTGTGTAATAGCCCTTTTTTTTTTACCAAAGTGTAGCAGAGCTTTGCTTTTGTGTGGCACACCACAGTAGGTGGGCAAGAGTCCAAGAGTAAATGACATTTAAAAACTGGAACAAAAAGAGCTTTTCCGTGTTGTTTTTGTTGTTGTGTTCCGGCTCTTTTCTCTGGCCAGCTGCAGACAAAACAACAGCACTCAAGCATCAATCTCATTGTCCGTCTGTCCCATTGTCTGTCTCTCTGCAGTTTGAGGGCTGTTCTAAAGCTTACTCCCGCCTGGAGAATCTCAAGACCCATCTCAGGTCCCACACTGGGGAGAAACCCTATGTATGTGAGCACGAAGGCTGCAACAAGGCTTTCTCAAATGCCTCAGACAGAGCAAAGCACCAGAACCGCACACACTCCAACGAGGTAAGTTCACACAAGGATCTCATCTGAGCAGCTAATATTTAGATTTGCCACAGTAAAAATCATGTTGAATCCATCTTGGCAGAAACCATATGTGTGTAAAATCCCGGGCTGTACCAAGCGCTACACGGATCCAAGCTCTCTCAGGAAGCACGTCAAGACGGTCCATGGACCCGAAGCTCACGTGACCAAGAAACAACGAAGTGACGCTCCCCCAAGGCTACAGCCACCCAAAGGCAATGGGGAGAACGAGGCAAACTCCAAGCACAGCGCAAGAGCCGTAGATGGCAAGGTGGAGGCCAACAGCACCTCTAGGGGAGGGGAAGACTGCCTACAAGTCAAATCTATTAAGACAGAGAACTCTATGGTGAGTCCTGTTTATCGGTTACACGACACGGTGGCTCTGGGTGAGCTTTAAAACAGGGGAACAACAGTTATCTTACATTTTTACTAACATTGTTAGTGAGAGGTTCCCTGCTGGACCTGCATGCATCCTTTCAAACTCACTCTCTGTTTGTTGTCTGAACCTGCTTCTCTCTTTCCTTTGAAACCCTGCTAATGGACAGACTTCACTGAGGTGAGCACGCAGCCTGTTTCAATGTCTTTTTTTTTCAAATTCCTGTATGGTGGAAATGTATCTAGATTGCATGATCATCCATGTTCATATATTTTCTTGCTCCTTTGCATGTAAGACAGTCTTACGCTGCCATTACACTGGATTTATATATCTACGAGCTCAATATTCAACCAACGATAAAAGTCATTGTCACATTAATACTGAAAGGCAGGGACTTGTGTAGCATGTGTGCTGCTCACAGAACTTCTCTATTATCCACTTGTTTTCTTAAATAAATAAACCTCCTTTATAATTCACGGGAGTATGAAGCTATAGGGCTACATTAGTTATTACAAAACACCATCACAATCAGAATTTTTTAACTGTGGTAATTATTTAATATTAAAGAATATCTAATGGGATTTTTTTTTAACTTGGCACAAGGCTGTGTTTTATTTTTCTTTCATTTATATTCATTTTTAAATTTTACTTTTTAATCATTTTTATTTTCTTTTTCATTTACTCAAACAGCAAAGTGAATATTTCTATGATCTACTAACCTCTTGGATTTTGATTCATGACACTTTCGTCTGTCCTCCTCCAGACGTATCAGTCCAGTCCTGGTGGCCACTCGTCATGTAGCAGCGAGCCATCGCCTCTCAGCAGCGCCAACAACAACGACAGTGGGGTAGAGATGGCCGTGCACAGCGGGGGCAGCTTCGGGGACCTCAGCGCACAGGACGAGTGCCCCATGGTTGACTCCACTGTTCCCACTGGGGGCCAGCAGGCTGGGATGGGGCTTCAGTTGAGGAAAGCCACGGGTCACGGTGGTGCAGTCACCATCAAGCTGGAAAACATCAAGAAGGAAAGGCTGAAGACGGTGAGGGACCCCTGCCCCTGGGTTAACTCTGCGCCACAGCCGCTGCAGGGCCAACGCATTAGCATGAAGCTGCCTCCCATACCTGCAGTTGGTAAGGACTACATGTTGAAGAAACACCTCATATTGGGCTTTACTGTCATAGACTGTGAAGATGGAGATGGAGATGGAATGAACCATTTATACCCATCTTGAAGCCTAAGCTTTAGTTATATGTGCTGCTTAGTTTTTTCTTAAATAAGTGATTATATTTCAATTAAAGGTTGGAGCAGTAAGCTAATGCTAGCGCTAATAAGGAACATCCAAAGACTTGTCTGTCACACAGAAACCTGCTAATAAATGCTCAGTACATTCCAGTAAAATCCCAGAATTTTACTACCCAAACTGGAGCACATACTTCTTGGACAGTCTGTCAGTACAGTTAAGTACACAACAGCTGTATTATTTGTTCCAAAAGTGATGGTGAGTTTAATCAGGTGAGGTTAAGCCTTGCAGACAGCTAGGAGCTACAGCTCCCTGTACATGTAACAAAGTGGATAGTGCTCTAGCTTTCAGTGTCTGTACAGTTGTTATGAAGGTGGACACAAGCTATAAAGACCAAAGACAGCGATGCTGAGAAATGCTTCCTCTGTAATTATAAACTCATGTACATTTATAATGTTATAATATAATAATATTTATTCTAATCTTTCTATCTGCCAGGGTCCCTGCTGGAGAACTCCAACATGAGTAACTTAACTGGTTCGTACCCTGCCCAACGCATGGATGACCTGTTGTCATGTGAAGTGACGCTATTGAACCAGCTGAACGAGCGCCGTGACAGCACCACCAGCACCATCAGCTCTGCTTACACCCTAAGCCGGCGCTCCTCCGGTATTTCACCGTGCTATTCCAGCCGTCGCTCCAGTGGGACATCCCAGTTTGGCGCTAATCGCCACAACAATATCAGTTCAGCTGACTCCTATGACCCAATCTCTACTGACCTGTCTCGTCGATCCAGTGAGGCCAGCCACTGCGGAGGTGGCGGTGTCAGTGGAGGAGGTGGAGCTGGCCTTCCAAGCCTTCTCAGTCTTACACCAGCACAACATTATCGGCTAAAGGCAAAGTATGCTGCTGCCATTGGTGGAGCACCACCTACTCCTCTTCCCAACATGGAACGAATGAGCCTAAGGACTCGCATGGCACTCTACAGCGACTCCCAAGAAGGCTCATCGCATCCCTTCCATCAGCCACCCTCTGGAACTGTACCAAGACGGTGCAGTGATATTGGATATGGCACGCAGAGCATGATGCCCCACGAAGTACCCACCAATCTGCCACGCCGTGCAAGTGATCCAGTGCGTCGTACGACACTGGACCCTCTCTCCCTTCCAAGGGTCCAGCGCTACAACAGCATGAGCAGCATGAACCCTATGAATGCTTCACCAGCTGCAGAACGTCACCAGACACTGGCTACACAGGGCTATACTCGCTCTGATGGAAGCCTGCAACGCTACCCATTTGCCCCCAGACCACCAAGCATTTCTGAGAATGTAGCCATGGAGAACATGGCGGTAGATGGAATGATGGTTGGGGGTGAGCAGGGTGGAGAGGATGATATGGTGCTTCCAGACGATGTGGTGCAGTACCTCAGGTCACAGAATTCTGGCCCCTCTACTCACAACTTGGGACAAACCGACTATAATTCCAACGGTCAGACTCAGGGCTACCAGACAGGCGTGGCTCCACCAGCATCATTTTTTGCGCAGAGGAGGATGGCCATGGTGGATACCATGATGGCTCAGTCCAATCAGGATGTGCAGTCCTGCCAGATGGGTCCGGGAGGTGCTCAGCAGCCTTTTGCAGCATCATCAGAAAACATGAACAAGAATAACATGCCAGTGCAGTGGAATGAGGTGAGTTCAGGAACAGTGGACACCACAGCCAAGCTTCCCAAACAGCAGCAGCATCCTCTCAGGGGGAACCTAGCTGTTGTACAGCAGAGGCAGAACTTTGGGTCCTTCCAGACGCAAGGTCAGGGCTTGAGCAACAACCAGCAAGTTGTGCCTATGAGTCAGAATATATCTATGCAGGGGTGTGCAAACCACAGCAACCAGAGGCTGATGAACATCTCTCTACAGCAGCATCCACAACAGAGACAATGCAACAGCGTGAACTTTAGTAACCAAATGAGTCCTCAGCAAGGGTTTGGCCAAGAAGCAATCCCAAGTTCTATATCTGGAAGCACTAGCATGAGACCTACGCGCAACAGTATGGCAGATCAAGAGGTGCAAAGTTACAGATCAAGGACACAGACGGATGTGTATTCTTATGTCAGCCAAGTGGATCCTCAGCAAAATTATGTTATCTCCCAACAGCAGCACAATGTCCAAAATGGAGGCAGAGGAATGTTACAACCCAGGCCTCCCACAGAGCCCAGGTCTACTGCCAGACCACACGGAGGGTCTAGCATGACACAACCGAGCCGATTGCTCAAGTCATCGGATGTTAGCCCCGGTCAAGGTAATGATACCTCTGAGGCAAGCCCAAAGCGGCCCAGTGGGTCAGTAGCCCATGACAGCAACTCAGAAAATCCAAACTCCGCTGTGTTCTACACAGGTCAGATTCACATGTTTGAGCCACCTTCTGTCAGCTTTGATGCTCCCATGTCCCCATGTGCCAGTCAGGCTCCTTCCAGCAACAACACTTCTGCAGCCAACATGGCTTCACCAGGCGTCAACCAGGTCTCCAGCAGCACAGTGGATTCTTCCACCAGTGGATCTGGGGCCGCAGAGCACGCCCAGATCGACTTTGATACCATGCTCGATGACGGAGACCACTCAAGCCTAATGTCGGGCACCCTGAGTCCAGGCCTTCTGCAGAGCCTCTCTCAGAGTTCCTCACGTCTCACTACCCCCCGCAACTCTGTCACCCTCGCTTCTGTACCGGCAGGGATTGGCAACATGGCCATCGGTGACATGAACTCTATGCTCACAGCCCTGGCTGAGGAAAGCAAGTTCCTCAACATGATTAGCTGAGAGCAATCAAACACCTCATCATCCATCCATTCTTACCATGAATATCAGGAATATACAAGAATATACAAGAAAGCACTGATTGTACAATGCAAAACTGCTCATTACATAAACTTTTTCTACACTGTTCATAGTAATATGCTTATCCTGTAATATTTGTTTCAGATTATATGTTACATTAAAAGGTTAATAGTAAATATAGATAGGGTTAAGGACCATTTTCTATCATTTGTTAAAAAGCCATACTTTTTAGCTACAAGTCTATGATAGCCCAGGGTATATAAACAGATCAAGAACAATTGCCATTCAGTATTTGCCAGCGTAATAGGCTTTTAAAAAAGTGGTGCACTGATAGCAGTTCACATAGTGCCTTGATGAGGTCATCAAGTGTGAGAATCTGAATATGACACAAAAACCGAATTATCAGGAAATGGACACAATATGTGGATAGACTGTTATGTTTGTAGATGATACTGTATGGTACCTGGTCTAAGATATGTTACACACTTGATGTTTAAGCTAGAGCTGTCAAACAGTTTATAAATGATAAATTCATTTTGTATTGACTTACCTAAACGATAATAGGCAGTTGCAAAACCTGATTATGGAAGCGTGGAGCAGTTTCTTCAGCCCATGTTATGGTTCTCTACTACGACTAACTGGCAAACCTCACACGGGGTGATCTGATTAAGTAGCTCTACCCTCTACATTTTCAACACATCTGCAAGTTGCTTTTAGCCCACCCCAGTCCCAACTCCTTGCTTCTAATACTTTGTCTGACTTCATCAGTGTCATGCTCAGTGCCTCTTCCTGTTGCTCACATCCATGAATACGCGTAGATGGGAGGGCATGTTGAGCTACCATAGCACCAAATACAAATTACTGCATGTGGAAATAATATTTTTTGACTACAGTGGTCCAGAGTAAACTCACTTTAAAACATTATTAAAGAGCTTAAAAGAAATAAATGGCTGCCTAAGGACTACAGTAGCTTAGAGTCTAGATTATATGGTATTATTGCGATAATGGGCCAGGCTGTATTATACCATACCATTCTCTTATCTCTGGGAGGATGAACAGAAAAAGAACACTTTTTTTCATTTTTGTTTGTTTGTAAGTGTGAAGTGGACCTGCAGCCCCAAACAAAATCACTACCCAACTAGCTAACACATCCTTCCTGTTGACAGGAATGACTTATCAGGGGGCAGGGTCTAGTCCTACTTTGACACAGTGACCAAATAAATTTTTAAAAAAGCCTGAGGCCAAATTATACACCAGGGATGGTCATGATTTTCAATAGTCATTAAATTATTTTTTCTTCTATCATTTTCTTTTCTTTTTTTTAATCAGTTGGTTATGCTAAACTATATTTTCCTTTGGCTTTACCAGAATGTGGGTGGATATATAACACACTAATACTCCCAGAGGTCATAGTAATGTAGCCGCAGTAGAAACTGTTTGCTGACAACCATTAAACAACGGAAACAGGTTAAATAAGTTATGAAAAATAACTGGATAACAGAAGCATGTGTAGTACAGCAAGGTTAGACGCTGCTGTACAAACAGGAGAAACATGCAAAGCCAAAGACGACCACAGAAATCCCAAAATTTAAACAAAATAAAAAATAAAAATGCGGTTTGGTGCAGATGTTGTTAGGTAAAGCTAGCATGTTACTACATGTGCGTGCACTCATTTGAGTATTTGAATCTGGGAGTCGAATAAGTTCCAGTAAATATCAGCGTATTTCTGCTCCCTAATAAATGCCAGTATTGAAAAAAAATAAACTGCCGTTGTAGTTCATATATGCACTTAACCATCCTGCAGCAGAGGAAATAAAAGCTGTGTTTGCTGGAACATGTCTTTAGGTACTAAATGTTTACCATCTGAAATGTTTTGAAATGTGTTACCAACGTGTGTGTGTGTGTGTCATAAAATTTCACTGAATGCAGTTTACAAAGTGAACATATTTGACAGCCCTAGTTTAAACACATGGTTGTTAGGCATGTGATCCACAGAACTGAAGTGCTTTCTGATCATAATCTGAGATTGTGAGGATGTGAAATGTGATTTCCTTCTTTGCCCTCTGGATCAGAGACGTTCATTCTCCATGGTCTCATCTCACAAGGGTAAATGATTGAAAAGGACAAGGATATGCATCAGTGTTAGTCCATCAGGGCACATGAACCCCTGCGCATCTGATGAGGAGCACTCTCTGAAAGAATATACAAGTACCTCTGTGTGTTCTCAGTAGAGATCCAACTCTAATTAACACATTCATACCCCCGTCACTGTACCCTGTCTCTCCCCTGGGTTCTCAATGAACTGCAGAGTCCAGGAAAGGACTCAGACTTTGATAATGAAATCCTGTTTTCGGACAGGATTGGCAAACTAGGTCTGCAAATTCCTCTGTTTTATTATGTTTGCTGAAATTGCTGAAAGTAGCCTTTTAAATGTTTGTGTGTATGCTACCATCCACTTTTACTATGCTTGGTGTGTGTGTGTGTGTGTGTGTGTGTGGGTGTGTGTGTGTGCGTGCGTGTGTGTGTGTGTGTGCATGTGTATATAGCTTTTGTACATTTCAAATAAACTATCTCCTCTTTTTCTGTTTAAATCTGCTTGCTGTGTCTTCTTTGAAATCACATGATCTGTGTTCCCTGGAGACAGACCATGAAAGTGAGGCTACACTGCATCTCATTTATTGTGTATTTTCTCAGACGGTTCTTGAGAAAACCTGAAACCAAACACTATCACATATTCATCCATACAAGTTACTCAAAACAGATATATCTTTATTTTTTTTTTTTTTTTTTTTTTGGGGGGGGGGGAATAAGTCACCTGTATAACTCATACTAAGATTTAATTATTAGGGGCTAGGGGTGGGCGATAGAAACGATATAAATTTGGCCAACGATAGAGCTTTTGACTATATCGCTCTATTGCGATAGCGCATGTTGATGATGTCATCAAGCTGCGCCTGTTTTGGTCGAAAGCATCGCAGCGGTTAAAACCATTATCATCTGCAAATTATGGCGGGCGACAGTCATAGCAAAGAGAATAAGCACTTTTGAAATATGGGGAAAGCCAAAAACTGTGCTTCCTCTACTTCCGTAACATTGATTCATTAATGTTGAATTCTCTCGCAGCTGTTCCCATGTTGTTGCAGTATATACTGTGCTAATGTTATGCTAAAATAGCTGTGTCGCTAGCAATCACGTAGTACAACATGTTTAGATGGAAGCTAGCGAGCTAACTTCCTGTTAACTTCTAACTCCGTTAAATTTAATAAATTCTGTTTTCATGGATGCCTGGATGTTAAACTTAATTGTGACACCTGGTAAAGCAGCAACGCTGATCATTTTATTAAAGATTAAAGAATTTAGACCGTTTTTAACTCTCAGTGTTCGTTTGACTTTGGGACCTGAAATGGACGGAGTTTTGGACCCAGATTACTCCGCGAAGCTCCTCACTATGGCAGCCGTAATGCTCTGACAATCCATCAAGCAGTGCAGCTTACCAAAGTTGTACTAAAACATTTTTTAACAGATTTCTGCTCTTATCGGTTCGAGGTCAGTAAGCACAACCAGAATTCATACATAAGGCACACTCTCGATTTTTGAGGAAAATTAAAGGATTTTAAGTGTGCCTTATAGTGTGGAAAATACGTTATACAGAAGAAAGGAATGTATCGTGATATATATCGTTACCGCACATGCTTCAAATTATATTGCGATATGAATTTTAGGCCATATCGCCCAGCCCTATTAGGGGCTGCGGCTTATTTGAAAAACAAGAAGACACTAATAAAGGAAAGAGGAGTGAAGCTCGCTAGCAATTTCAACTCATCTCCTGAAACATGAATAAGTGCTGGACCCGAATCTGCCTACAAATCACCCCCCAGTGCCGTACTTACCCTCAGTGCAAAAAGTGACACACATTAGACTCTAATGTGTCTATTTTCTGCGTCAACTTCATCTTTAAATACAGCAACGTCTGGCTCTAGAAACCAAAGTGGCAGCTATAAAGATGAATTCGATGCTTCAAACACATGCCGATGGGTGACCTCACCATGGCTGCATCTATATTTTATATACAGACTATGTGAGAGCATTTTAATAAATGCCTCACATGGTTATTGGGTTTAAGCTATTTTCATAAATACGTCATTTGATGTTAGACATCTGTAAATACTAATTAAGAAGAGAAATGGACCTGTAGCTTTACTTTTTAAAACACTTCACATAGTCTGTTGAATTTGTGCTAAAAATGATTCATCATCAGTGATTTAATTGTTGGTTTTAAAGGATATCAGTTTTTTGCAGGTGGTGTTTTCATCACCAACCTGGAAGTCCAGCATATAATCCAGCAAGGATTTTAACGGGCAGGATCGAATTTGGTGTGCTCTCTTTTTTATTCTACCTTCAGTAAAATAAACAAATTCAATAAATTTTAGTAAATACAATGTTAAATTATTGTCCATGACGCTATGCAAAATGCCAAACAGATCAGATTGATTTTTTTTAAGCAGTCATGATGGTTTTTCACTAAAGGGCCCAAATCAAGACACAGGATCAAGCGAGCAACATGAACAATGAGATGGTTTGAAAGAGGAGTGAAAGAAGCATCTATGTCCACTGTGAGCGACCATCTTTGAACAGAGGCGGTGGTTTAC